GACCATCTTTCAAAGTGTGCTCCAGTAAAGAAACAAAGAAAGTCTAACCATAAATAATTGTAATAATACTTTAAAAAACCCAAAGAAAACTTGAAGTGTCAGAAATCTCTGCACTCAAGTTTTCCTAGCCACTAGAAATATAATTTACAGGACAGTTTTTGCTCAGAGGTAAGAAAAAACTGCAACATCACCAAACAAAAAATGCTACTGAAAATGAAAATACATTTTTTTTCCTTTGTTACATTTGTCAATATAAAATTAGAAGTGTTCAACAGAAAAATGCTGAAAGAATCCTTCATTAAGTTTTCATATAATCTTTATAATATGAAGAAGCACTGCTTTTATTTAGGGTCCCTCGCTGGTGATGTTTAAAGGCCTTGCTGCTTTATAACCTGAAAATGTTTTAGACTGCAACCTACCTCAAGCCCAGTGAGAATTCTCATAGCAAGATATTGCAGAGGTATATAGCCTATTCTTTTTTCCCCCCACTTGACACCCATATCTACTGTTTGGCTAAAAATTGGCAATCTTTTTATTCTTCCTTCATGAAGCCATGGCCAGGCTGTAATTGCTCCTAATTGTTTAACATCAAATCCACTGAGTGGCTTGTTACAAGGCTTAGAACTGAATTTAACCCAGCTTTATTTTAGTTATGTGTAAAGTCATGATGAAGGACACAAAAATCATGATCTGTGTCTGTAAAGAATGTATTTACTGACAATGTTGGAGAAATGCGAAGCTTGATTTTCAGTCTTATTTGTGTTCACATGAATCCAGAAGACAAAACATCATCTCTCTATAAACTAAGACTACTGAATTCCTTCAACCTTTATTGAAATCACAGAACTTCTGAAAACTAAAGAGCAGAATAGAATCAATATTATGTTAAGAAAAATATATGCCTTATTAAAATGAAACTATTTCAGTCCTTTCATAGCCAACCCTAACAATCCTGAGAGCATCAGATCACACAACCTCTTCATAGGTATATGGAAAAAAATACAACTCCAACAGTTTGGGTATATAATTACTCCCATGATTTTTACAGCAAAGGTCTGTACTCTCTGAGGGCTATCAAAGGCTGGGATGCTTCCAAAGGCAAACTGTTTATTCAGAGGCAGATTTGATCGAGGCTCATGTTTTCCAAAAGGCAGCTAGCTTACTTAGGCCCTTTAAAAAAAACCCTTTCCCTAGAGCTCATCCACTGATCTGTCTGGGCTGCATATTTTGAGCAGCACAGAACTGCCAAACCAAAAGCAGAGAATTTGTTTCTAAGAGAAGCAAGGAAAAAACAAAGAGCAAAAGATAATACTGCAGATCATTGCAGGCTTCACGGAGTGCAGAACAATTGTTTTAATAAGAGCTAAAAATACTTTCTTCTAAGAGCACTTGCTCTCCTGCCAAAGGCATTCAATACACTAAAAACATGTTTGCAGAATCAAAATATTTATAACAATGAAGAAGTAGTTCTTGCTTTAGAAGCTTATAATAGCTGGTTAAATTGGAACTACATTTTTCATAATACAGACAAAAGATTATCAACCACAGACATGAATATTGATTTTTGTTGCCAATCTACTGTTAGAACAGGAAAAATACTAGCATATGTTTTCTCTAGATCACCTGATAGTTACTTTGGTGTAACTATCAATATAGTTATAGGACAAAATACCATCTTACTTTCTAACCTTCTCCTTGCTATGCGACAGAAGACAGGTGTGCTAGAAGGCACTCTGTAAAAAAAAAAAAGGAACAGAAAGGCCATGCAAAGTCACCTGGCCTCACTGGAAGCTTCACAAATATTGATTCTCTCTTCTCAAAAATCTCAGCTCAACTCAAAATTCAATACAACTCTTCATCCACAGCCCAGAAGAACACAGAAAGCTAAACTTCTGTAATGAAAAAACTTCAGAGAAACTTTCATGGAAAGTGTCTAGTTTGGCTTCTTTCCTTTGTTAATTTCAAACATTGGAAAATCTTACTTCTTTTTTAAGGGGGAAAAAAATAACCCCAAACAAAGAGAAGTGATTTAAAGTCATGAATAGAGTGACATTTCACTTTTGAAAACCCAAGGGTTTTTTGTCATATTTAGCTAATGCCAAAACAGTGCCTACAGCAACATCAACAGTGAGGCTGCCAATATTGCTTCCAACTGTGAAAAGCACTTTTTTTCTTATTTTCTAAGTTTTAGGGTTGTTTTTGTTTTTTTTCTCTTTCTACTTTTCCCCTTCCAGAGACACAAAACAGCAGAAAACAGTCAATGGCTTTGCACAATTGTCAGGCAAAGGAATCTACAATTTTGTTTCGTATCACAGTTGCTATTTGCATATTAACCTAGCAAGAATTTAACGTAACACATTATAGTATTTGTAACACTGGAGCAACAACTTGTTCTGCAATCATGAATTGCCAGCTCCTGGATTTAATTTAATTACTCTCTTGCCTTGTAAGGCAAGAAAGAAAACAAAATAATGATACAAGAGGGTGCCAGCCACACTTGTGTATTCCCTCCCTACCTCTCCTCCCCACAAAAAACCAAAAGCTGTAAAACCTGAAACTGAGATATATTACTTCGGGCTTTCAGAAAAGTTGCTTAACATCCTCAAAAAAAAAGAAAAAACTGAACACCTTGCAGTTTGTTAAATTACAGTAGGCAGTTCTCTTTCAGCAAGAGAATGCTAAAGCAACAAAAGTGGATAAAGAGCATTGAAAGTACTGAAACATTTATACTGTGTTACTTGACTCATTAGTTGCAACTTAAGTTCTTCCCCTCTGAATGTCTCCTTTTTCTTTATGCTGATAACAAGCATGGAACAAAGCAAAACAAGCTCTTGGCTCTCCAAGCTGATTCTACGAACTGGTGGGGCTTGGCTCACGCTGCAGTCACCAGCACTGGGTCTGCTGGAGATGTGTTTCCCTTCCCTAAAAGGGAAAGTGAGCTATAACGATTATTAAGGACTAAGAGATGAAATCATATGACTTTGTCTTTAGCTCATCTGCAATAGCAACTGCCTCCATACTTCTCTTTCCATAGGTATCAACAAAAAATATCTGTCTTCCTTCTCTCTGGCAAGTCCTCCATACCTACCCATCTAACTTTTTCCCGTGACACCAATTCATTAAAAAAAAAGGGGGCAGGGGGGAGGGGAGGAAGCTAACAGATAATTTCTGACTGTAAATTATGCCCCAACCTTCAGCCTGTCCTGTGTATTTAAACTTCAAGCACATTAGGGTGGGACTTTTTGCATTATTACTCAGCACACCAGAACACTGCCCTCAGTTGACCTTGCAGTGTGCTGTAACAAAGCCACTATCTGACTTCCTAGGATTTTTTTTCCCCAGTACAGGAAGAATGGACAGATGAGACAGAATCCATGAAACTGCGTGTAGTTCAGGTATCAGCATTGTGACATGTAGAAACAGAACAGAGACAATTCCCGTTCTTCTCAGGACTGTCCAAAAACTGGTTTCACGATCAAGTACACTGAAGAAAAAGCAAAAAAAAGAGGGTATACTGAATTTTCTGCTGCCCTTAAGCAGCTATTAAGCTCACCTTACAGGTCTTCAAAAACCCGTAAGTTGGTTCTTTATGGCCTTACAATAAGTTTAAAATGTCTGTGATGTATCGCCATGTCATCAAGCCTGGAAGACAGAAACTTTGATTTGTCTTGGTAAGTTTGAAGCTTTAAAGATACATAAAAGACATTAATATAGCACAAAGTAACCTCTGAAACAAGTATTGTCACACTTGAAATTCAGAACATGTTCAATATGAATGGATACATTATTAGGCATTGTATATAAATACAGTTAAGTGAGCTAGCAGCATCGGCATGATCACTAGAGCAAAATGGTTTGTCGCCTAAGGACAGATGTACTGCAAGTTTCCATATACCTGCTGTTTACTTACGAGGCTTCCAAAGAGCTGGTTATGTCTTCCTATAACAGGAAAATCAGTACCAAAGTAATCATTGGCTCCTACCTTGGTTAAAGACTTAAACCTAAATCATGTCACACTACAGTTCTCTCCAGGACTCCTCACAATAGAAAACTGCTGTGACCAAAAGCACCAATATTCAAGAGATTATCATACAGGCACACCAGGAAAATTATTTCTTTATAAAGGTACATTTGTTAATGTTTGACTGTCATTTTCCCATGACAAACTTTCCATTAATATTAATTCCAACAGTTTGGAAAATACTGACAGTAGGTATCTGCTATTCTACAGAACAGTGGAAGTTACAAGCAGCACAAAGAACTGCACTTTTTTAGGCTTTTTTTTTAATTAGAAAACTGTGAAGTCAACAAGCTTGATGCATAAAAGTGAAGTTTAGGCTTTACCAGCCTGTTATCTCAGAGGTATTCTAATCCATAAGTGATACTTTGTTACACTACGTTAAGTCAATCTTCTGTCTTCCCTGCTTGCTCTGAATCAATTCATCATACTCAGAGTACCACGAAACGTACTTTGAAAGATCCAAGACTCGGGGTTTGCTTAACCTGTAACAGGCTCCAGTTTCATTCACAGACATTCATGGCCCCTTACTACAGTAAACCAACAGGATCTCTTCTCAGCCCCTGGGAATTCAGGTGTATTTCCCAGAACCCCAATGGTAGCCTAATCTACTCTAAAATCAAGACACTGAGCAGCAAAGATGTAATCAGAGTAGCAAAGATCATAACTAGCTACTGGCTAATGTGGGGAACCAGGAAGCAAGGTGATGCACGTGTTCCTGTAATTACGTTCCACTGTTCTTCCATGCCTTACTTCCCAGTAAATAAAACAGGTAGATATTACTTCTATCCCATTTCTTTCATCAATTCTTTAAAAGCTCCTACCTTTAAAGCTGTTGGTGCGCATATGCACATAAACATCATCTCACCTAGCAGAGTAGATTACTTGGTAAAGAAGTATACATACTCATTTTGAAAACAGGATTTTATTGGAAGATTATGAAAAACGTCTGAAATCTTATTCAGGAAAGGCACTTGAGACTTTAGTCCCTTTTCTTTTTAGCTTTTTTAGCTTTGGGTTCTTGTGACAGCTGAGATAATTCACTTTCTTCAACTTCACTGCAATGCTTTCTTTTCTTTTTCTTTGACTTTTTATGGTCACTTTGGTAACCACTGGAGTCACTGGTAGGCAATACATGTTCCTGTTCTTCTTGCTTATGCTTTTTCTTCTTCTTCTTCTTGTTTTTATCATCACATAATCCATTCATACTTTGCTCCTCTCCATTTTCCTTCACAGTGTTATTAGTCCCATCAAGTGCCTCCTCTGTAACATTATCTCCCCGAGAGTCATTCAAGCTATTCTCCTGGTGGTCAAGCTTTTGAGTTTCATCTCCATTTGCACTGTCAGTGACGGTCTCAGGTTGCTTAGGCTTCATGCTGTAAAGAAACATACAAAATAAACTGAAGTAGAGACATCTAAGTGCACCACACACAGTGCAATGTCAAAATTTGCTAAAGCACAATATATATACCAACCAGATAAAACATAAGCATTTGTTAAAAACAACAACAGACAGCGAACATGATACTCTGATTACATAAAATCATAAAGCTGATTTACTACATTCTGGGTAATTTCTACTACCTGAATAGCTTCCTTCTTATCACAGAATCAATATTTTCTTTCAAATCTTACCCTAAATTTCTCCTCTAATATATGCTGTACAGACCATTTTGATTTTTCCTCTTTTCTTGTACTCCTTCATCCACTAATTCATAATTACACATTGTGTAGTAAGTTATTCACAAACACAAACAACCAACAGTCTGTTCAATCATACATGACCCAGACTGCTGGTTTTACCAAGCAATTGCCTTGCTGAAGTCTATAGTTAAAACAAAAGTGATGCCAGAAAAGTCAGAAAATGATGAAAGAAAAAAACCCAAACAAAATAAAAAAACCCAGCAGGTACCTTGCAACTGAGAGCACTGGAGAAAAAAGTTAAAAATCATGGAGGAGGAGATGTCCCCAGAGGCACTGAGGACAAAACCATTAAGTTTCATTGTAAATTCACTGAAATAGTCTAGAGCATCCTTTCAGATTAAAAAAAGAAAAACCAAAATAAAAATGTTATGATTTTTTTCAGTAGTGGACATATTGTACATTTAATTAAAAACATAACCACATTGGGATGCTTCATCAAGGACTGTAGCCATAGGACAAGGGGTAACAGGTTTAAACTTAAACAGGGTAAGTTCAGGTTAGATATAAGGAAGAAGTTCTTTACAGTGAGGGTGGTGAGGCACTGGAACAGGTTGCCCAAAGAAGTGGCAAATGCTCCTTCCTTGGCAGTGTTCAAGGCCAGGTTGGACAGAGCCTTGGGGGACATAGCCTAACGTGAGGCATCCCTGTCCATGGCAGGGAGGTTGGAACTAGATGTTGTTAAGGTCCTTTCCAACCCAAACCGTTCTATGATTCTGTGATTGGTAGAAAAAAAATTGCTCTGCAAATGACCACTTAAACAAAAAAAAAAATCTGATCTCTTTTAAAAATATCACGATTAAAAGTTTTAGCAAACTGGTCTAAAAATTTAGAGGCACAGGTGAAAAGAGGAAGCTGATGAATTCTCTTGTATCATCTTTGATATTCTAATGTTTCACCATTTAAGTCACACAAGTATAGCTGTTCGTGGATATCTAATGTGTGTGTGTGTGCATGTGTGTGTAAACACGTACGTAAACACTGTGTTGAGAAACTGGACTGCTTCCCTTGAACAACCCATGCTTTTCATAAACACAGCTGCTCTCACATTTCAGGGTGCTATTCTGGACACGTATGTTTATTTATGCAATCAATAGTTCATAAGCCAGCACACTCAGATTTTTAAAGCTAAAAAAAAATCTACTTTAAGAAAACTTAAAGATTATGACATTAAGTCAAATCATTTAGCTTATAACAAACCCATTAAAACAGTTAAAAATATTCTCTAGTAGGGCACAGTACCTGCTTTTAGTGAGACCTCCTCGAATGAAGAACACCCCAGCTGCATCTGAATCTAAGTGCAGTACTTGAAATTTCAGTTCATCCCCTATTTTTAACCCCAGCTCTTGCCACTGTGCAACTGACATTTGTTCAGGTTTAGGGATAGAAGCATTGAAGCATCCATGTATCAGGCAGCCAATATGACTAGGGGCCACTTTATTAATTACACCCTAAGAAAGAAAAAGAACAGCATATGAAGCTATAGTAAAGATCACACATGGTATATATTTAGTTCCCTATATGGACACTTCTCAACAACTTTATGCACAAGTTACACAGCCAGTTTATCTAACAAATAAGTTAACTCTTCACTAAAATCAAAGCTATTCCTACATACTCTTTATACAATTTCTCTGAAAATAGAACTGAACCTCTATCTGCAAGATAAAGTCAAAAAGCGGGATTTAGCCATAGTGAGTACCTGAATAGAACAGATAACTCTTTACTCACACTACAGCCATCAACTTTGCTTTAAAGCCATTTTAAGTCTGATTTACTTGCCTCTAAGGACTTTCATGCTGGCACAAAACTACTTAGCAGCTAAAAATATAAATGACACATAAAAAGCTTTTAAGTAAGTTTTTCATTCATAGGGTTTCTTCCACATTTGCATGTCAAACGTTATTCACTTTTGTTTTCCCCAAGAATGAATGAAAGACACTGAGGGTTTTTCCATTCTCTTCTGAGCAAGAGCACACATGCATTTCTTAATCACATTTAGAAAAATAGAAACACACAAGCTATGCTGAAAAAGGTATGACGCAACAAGGAATGTAAACCAACTGCCAACTTATTTTTCCCACAAGTACTGATGCAAGGACATTAACAAGCTTACAGCTGTTTAGAGAGCCATACATTTCCTTTTACTGGAAGGCAAGCTTCATTTTGATGTACTGCTCTTGTACTTAAGAAACTAAACTCATGAGAACATCCTAAACATTCCTGCCACTATTAGGTATGAACAAACAAAC